AAAAAAAAAAAAGTTCAATGATTATTATCACCACTAGTTTAGGCAAACTTTGATATATATATATATATATTTTTATTTTCCCGCTAAAACCTGAGAGACTTTTCTCACAAAATGCATGTGGGTTGGATTTATTTGTAAAGGTGGAAAATCCTCATCATCCACAATGCTTTCTTTCAACATCACGTGCTCTTTCATTCAACATACAATTACATATGGGACAGATGTGTAAGATGCGACTTTTATCCTAAACCTCATCTTTAATGTCTTCTAGTTCAAGCATATGATATATTAATATTGGACAACTATATATATATATATATAAATATGTGGCATATATAAAATATTAGAGTTAGAGAGAGAGAAAGACCTTAAAGTCTTGAGTGATGATGTCGTTGAAGCTATATGGACGTGTTAAATTCTCAAAACCGAGGATGGGAGAAGAAGATGCCAAAGCTCCAATGGCGACGTGCGGATACTTCAATCTAAACCATGCTGCCAGCACTGCATATATAGATATAGATACAGATATACAAACAAAATATACAATAATTTTTTCAATTAATTATATATCTTGAAAACTACAAAATCCCAAAAGTCCAAAACTAGCTATTTCATCAACTTATTATTGTTGTACTAGGCCAGGACAAAAAATAATAATAATAATAATAAAGGATGACATATTTGGTTATTGCAATATTCACCAAATTATAATGACATACTTCCTCCATAGGAACCTCCGAAAACCACCACCGGAGAGTCCGCCGCCGATAAATTCCTCTTCAAATCGACGATCAAAGTCGCATAATCCGCTAGCGCTTGTGTCGAGCTCAGATATCCGAGCATGCTTGTGTTGTTGTAAACAACATCCTTGTCGCCTCCGAAAGGTATGGATTTTCCATAAAATCGATGCTATACAAAACCAACAAAAATTCCAAGTATTTGAGTTGGTAAGGCCTCTTAGGATCCGTTCACTTCGCTGATTCGAGTTTATAATTCGAGTTGAGATGT